CATTCTTAGTCTTTCCAATTTCCAAAGAGGATGACAATCTTGGCATGGTGCCCAGGAATGTTCAAGAAGTGCTGAGAGACTTTGAGGATGTAATGCCGGGTGAATTGCCGAAAGAGTTGCCCCTAGACGGTTGGTGGACCATGAGATTGAATTAATTCTGGGAGTAAAACCTCCTGCGAAATGCCCATATCGGATGAGTCCTCCGGAGTTGGCAGAGTTGAGGAAACAATTGGATGAGTTGCTCCAAGCAGGATTTATTCGACCCTTGAAGTCACCTTTCGGGGCACCTGTGTTATTCCAGAGAAAACATGATGGGAGTTTGAGATTATGTGTTGATTATAGAGCATTAAACAAAGTGACTGTCAGGAATAAATATCCTATTCCGTTGATTGCCGATTTGTTCGACTAGCTGAGTAATGCTAAGTATTTCACGAAGTTGGATCTCAGGTCGGGATACCATCAAGTGAGAGTGGCCGAAGGGGATGAGCCAAAGACGACATGTGTAACTCGGTATGGAGCATTTGAATTTCTTGTTATGCCTTTTGGACTAACCAATGCTCCCGCTACTTTCTGCACTTTGATGAACCAGGTGTTCCATGACTATCTCGATAAATTCATAGTCATCTACTTGGACGATATAATGATTTTAGCAATTCTATAGAAGAGCACTTGGAGCATCTTCGGTTGGTGCTGACGAGATTACGGGAAAATCGGTTGTTTGTGAAGAAGGAGAAATGTGCTTTCGTCCAAACGCAAGTCCAATTTTTGGGCCACATCATTGAACGAGGGCGCATTCGTATGGATAAAGAGAAGGTAAAGGCTATCCAGGAGTGGCCGACCCCACAAAATGTTAGTGAGCTTAGATCTTTCCTTGGTTTGGCCAATTATTATAGACGATTCGTAGAAGGTTATTCTCGTAGAGTAAAGTTACTCACCGATTTGCTAAAGAAAGACTGCGAGTGGGTTTGGTCCAAGGACTGTCAAGAGGCCTTTGATGATTTAAAGAAGGTTGTAATCAGTGAACCAGTGCTTACATTGCCAGACCTGGAAAAACCTCTAGAAGTAGAGACAGACACATCCGACTATGCAATTGGAGGCGTACTCTTACAGGACAAACATCCCGTGGCGTTTGAGAGTAGGAAGCTAAATGAAACTGAAGCGAGATATACGGCTCCAGAGAAAGAACTTCTCGCAGTAATTCATTGCTTGAGAATTTGGAGGCATTATTTGTTGGGTTCCAAATTTGTGGTAAAGACCGATAATACAACAGTTAGCCACTTCCTTACACAACCGAAACTAACAGCAAAGCAAGCTAGATGGCAAGAGTTTCTGGCCGAGTTTGACTTCAACTTTGAGCATAAGGCAGGGAAAAAGAATCAGGTTGCTGACGCTTTGAGTCGCAGGGCAGATTTGGCAGCACTCCGATGTGTGGCCCCTATATCCGCTAGTAGAGTGTCCAATGAAATTCGTCAGCTCCTTGTGAACTTTTCCAAGCAAGATCTGAAAGTGGAGGCCCTTATGGAGATGGTTAAAAAGGGTGTTTCGAAATGTTTTTGGATAGAAAATGGCTTATTGATGACAAAGGGGCCACGAATGTTTGTTCCTCGAGCTGGAAATCTACGACAGAAGTTGTTGAAGGAATGTCATGATACCCCATGGGCCGGGCATCCTGGTTGGAGGCGTACTGTTGCTTTGTTGGGACAAGGGTATTATTGGCCTCAAATGCGCCAAGATATGATGGATTACACCAAGACATGTCTTATCTGTCAACAAGATAAGGTAGATCGACAGAGGACTGCTGGGTTACTCGAGCCACTACCCGTACCCGCCCGACCTTGGGAGATTATCTCCTTGGATTTTATATCACGCTTGCCTCTAGTAGGAGATCTTGGATCAATTTTGGTGGTAGTGGACAGGTTCTCGAAGTACGCCACTTTTATACCAGCATCAAAGTATTGTTCGGCGGAAGAGACTGCTAAGTTTGTGTTCAAACATGTGGTGAAATATTGGGGTATTCCTCAGAGCATAGTCAGTGACCGAGATGGAAGATTTATTGGGAAATTTTGGAAAGGATTGTTCCAGTTATTGGGGACACAACTCAACTTTTCGTCGAGTTACCACCCTCAAACAGATGGTCAGACTAAGCGATTTAATGGACTCTTGGAGGAGTACCTGAGGCACTTTATTCAGGCCAATCAGACGAACTGGCCTCCATTATTGGATGTGGCGCAATTATGTTTTAATTCACAAAAGAGTTCGTCTACTAATAAAAGCCCTTTTGAACTGGTGACAGGTCAGCAGCCAAGACTTCCTCACACTATGGATGAGACCTCTCAAGGTAGATGCCCTCGTGCCTCAAATTTTGTGGGGGAGTGGAAGCAGAATATGGAGATTGCCAAGGCTTACTTAGAGAAAGCAATGAAGCGTATGAAGAAATGTGCAGATCGTAACAGGCGAGACCTACACTTTCAGGTTGGAGATTTGGTGCTAGTCAAGTTGATGCCAGAACAACTTAGATTTTTGCGCCAGAGGGATCGTCGCTTGGTGCGTAAGTACGAGGGTCCAGTCTCAATAGTAGCAAAGGTGGGGAATGCTTCGTACAAAGTTGACCCTCCTACTTGGATGAGAGTTCACCCTGTCTTCCATGTGAGCAATTTGAAGCCGTTTCACACCGATCCCAATATTGATAATCAGAGTATGTTTGCCAGGGAGTCAATCGGCACACAACCACCCTCACAGCGTCATGTTGACGAGATTCTAGCAGGGAGAATTGTTAAGGTGGGTGGAAAGCAAAGACGGGAGTATCTAGTCAAGTGGGGAGGCTTTGATCAGGAAGAGAACACTTGGGATAGAGAGTATGATCTCAGGGCATTCAAGCAAAAGATTGAAGAGTTTCAGGCCAAGCAGTCGACGAGGACGTCGACAAATTAGGTGGGGGAGATTGTCGTGACCGTCCCTTTTATGGGGCCACAACCGGGCAGGTACGCCAAGGCCAACCATGTATAGGGCCTAGTGGCAGGGTAGAATAAGCTTGTCCTCTTTTCAAGCATTTTAATGTTTTTAGGTAGGGAGTGGGGGTATGACTTACTGTCCCCTGTTTGAGCATTTCAACGTCTATAGGTAGCATTTCTGTTATTTTGTTTTTGCATATATGTAGGGGGTGGACAGCCGGCAGAGTTTGGGCTGATCCACAGGTAAAGGTACGTGTCTTGTGAACACCATCGAGGGCCGCCCCTACGGCCTAATCGGTGGTGTGGGTGAGTCTTCTGTAACCCGATGTTTCTTTTATTAATAAAAACATTTTTCTCTCGGAGAAGTCCGGGGGTTGAGGTGTGCATCCGCTATGCCCCACGGGCTCGGATTATTGGTCGAAGGACCATGTGGCTATAAAGATCTAACGCGATGTTTGTTTATGCTTGATCAGATCTACGAGATTAAGGCTGACTTAGTTGGGAAGCGTCCCTTTCGAGTGCCGCACGGATTAGCAACCGAACCAACTAGGCTAAGTCCGTGACACATAGGTCGATAAACTTGGAATAACTTGCTTGCCAGTTACCCATATGGTTTCGGATCACCCCTCCACACTTTGTCAATTCATTTTTCTTACAACGTTTAATCATTTTAATCACTATTTTTAAATCTCTCCGACTCGTGATTTGGTAGATTAATAAAAAAATAATTCAATAATTAACATGTCACGTTAGATGGAATTGAGCTGACTGTTGCTCAAAAACTACATTGTAAATTTTTCGAGTTAAATTTGATTAAAGATAAGTTTTAAATTATTCGAACATATGTAATGAATATCAATTTATTTTATTTTCATTTAAATTTAAGTTTAAATTTAACTTATATTTTTTGTGTAACATAGTTAAGTGTGTCATGTGATATTTTTATGTGATACATTCTTAAAGTGTTACGATATTTTTTTGTAATGATAATATAAAATTAGATAAAATATTTCTTTATTTTTTTAAAATTAAATCATTTTAATATTTTTATGTTTTAAAATATTAACAAAATATAGTTTAAAGGGTTAAAATATCATCTAATCTATAATTTATTAAAGGAATAGTTTACATGTACAAAGATAAATTATATTTATATATCTCTCTATAAATATTGTGTTTTATTCTTACTCATTTGATTGAAATAATAGTTTATAATTATTTTATTCAACTATTTACTCAATTTTAAATAAATAAAATTTTATTTATTAAATTTTAGTTATGATTATTCTTACACCAGTGGAGCATATATTCGAGTAAAGATAAGCTTGATATCTTAAGCTCTAAACAGTTCATGTGTTGGGTAAAAATAAATAAGTAAATTTACGCGTGTGATTTATATATTACAGCGAATTAGACGGTCCTGATAAACCATATTTATTATCAGCGGTCGTGATTTGAGATCTAGGATCAACGGTTTATTTACCCTTATTCTAAAGCCAACAGTATACAGAATCCTGGGTCCACCTCACAGTATTTTCTTAAGGTGCGTTTGGTTCACGGAATGTAAGATTATCAGTGAGAATAAAAATTATCAGTGAATAAGATTACTGAGAATGTTGTATTTTGTGTTTGGTTGGTTTAGCAGAAATGTAAGATTACCGTGTTTGGTTAAAAAAATAAAAGATTATTAGAATGTATATTTATCAAATTGTCCTTATTATATATTTGTATAATATTATAAGATGTAAAATATTTATATATTTTCTTTAAAAAGTTAAATTCATAATATTTATATCATTTTTTTACAAAATTAAAAATATGAAAAAAGTTTAATGAAAAGATAAAATTTTATTTTAACCCATGAACTTTATATAAAATTTTAATAATAGATTTTTTTTGTAAATCTAAAATAATTTAAGGATAAATTTGTAATTTAACATTCGTAGAATTTTTATTATTCAATGACAAAAGAATGATATTTTTGAAAAAAAAATAAAAATTTAAGAGCATTTTAGTCAAAAAAGCCGGAATGTTAAAATACCTACGGGAATGGAGGTAATGACATTCCCGATAATATATCTCAAAAAATTCACTATTAGTAATAAAAATTATCGAGAATGACATTCCCGACCAAACCAATCAAGAGAATTTAAATTTTATTCCCGAAAAATTTCACATTCTCCCCAAACGCCCCTAAAAATTTACCACGATTACCATATTAATAATATCCATGGTAAAAAAAACTTTTTTTTCCTAATAAATATGCCACCCTCTTGGCTTCACTCTTTGGCGCTCACTTATTTCAATTTTTCTTCTTATTTTAATTGTTTGAGCTTCTTCTTCTTCTCCCTCGAGCCTCGCGCATCATTCGCAATGCCATCTCTCACCTGGAGTTGCATTTGTGTGCTACCTTCGAGAAACGGCCACGTGTAAACAATGACGGTATTTTCCGGAAGCAGACAGGTGGTTCCCGTCGATTAAGAGGCTGAAGTTTCTCAGCGCCTGCTCGAAGCTTCTTTAACCGGCGATCTGAGGTCCGCTCTCGAATGCATCTCCGATCCGGTCGTTGACGTCAACTTCGTCGGTGCCGTTTGCTTGAAAACGAGGAAGACCGAAGTCGTTTTGAGAGAAGAGTCCCCGAGTGAGGTTCGCGTCGAGTATGAGGAGTTTTCGACTGACGTCACCGCTCTTTTTCTCGCTGTTCACGTCGGAAATGTGGCTCTCGTAAAGAAACTGTTGGTAATGCAATCCAAAACTTGCGGTTTTGTTTTGTTTGTCGTTTTGCGATTCAAACTGTTCCATTCATATCGTGGTTTTACAGCGATTTTTCTTCGTTTTGGTTATCAAGTTGATTCCGCTCCCTCAACCCCATCTTTTCTTGCAACTTCAGTTTTTTAATAGTCATTTCCTAAACCATTCGCATTCCGTTTTAAGATCATCTGCATTTCGTTTTTAAGAGTTTGAGTTGCTTGTACTGATTTTTAATTATGTTTTAGAATCATTTCAATGTTTGTTTTAGGCTTAGTTTTTTAATGTTCTGGAAATCTGTATATTGTCACTGAAAATTTAAAACCAACGTTTTAGGCCAATAGAATCATATCATTACTTCTCAAACCTCCATTTTTATTGTCATTGGATATAATTAAGTGTTTCACTCATGCTTTCTTTAGTAGTTATTGTTCTGTTTGGCTACGGGAAAAAAGTTGTGGAGGTTAAATATGCTTACTTCGAAATTGACTTTTTCAAATTCAAATTTCAACCGAGCATATTACGATTTTCTAATTTTTCAAAGTGCTAAAAGTATTTTAAATTAAAAATTGCTCGTAACTTCTGTTCTTTAATTACCAAGTTTTCTTGTCCTTACGTTTGTTGAATTTTATTTTATTTATTTCAAAAAAATTTCAAATTTATGAAGCTAAGGTTACATCTTACATTTTCCTAAAACATAATCTTCTTTTTTACTTCAAAATTTTTCCTATGTTCAAAGCTTCAATGTCTTCCTCATGCTTTATTACTTTCCCTTGTTCTGATCCCAAAATTAAATTTACACTTTTAAACCTTTAACGAACTGTAGAATTGTCCTTAGAATAATGTCATAAAGAATTTATTCAGAGTCAAGTAAGCTTCTTTAATCCTGTATAGTAATATCATTTTTTTTGCTTTTAATTTCTACGAGAATTCTGTTTTAAGTACCTCCTTAAACTAGTCTTGAAATGAAATACCAAATTTATTGTTTTTCTTACTGTAACATATAAATAGAGGAGTAAATGTATGTTCTACCCATATCTTTCACATTTATATATGAAAAGTAAATGCATTGAAGAGAAATCTTTGTAACAATATGGTTGTCCTATCGTTTATGGTTAAAAGACTTTGATTATTTTTTGCTCGTGTAAAAAGGGCCTATGTTGTATTCTCCTTCCTGTAAAGCTGCTATTTTAGGAGGTCTTAAATCATCTTTGTTTGCTTCAACAAAACTTAATTGTTCTCAGCTTTTTTTTTGGTTAAATTCAATGATATTTTCTCATGATTTTGATGGAATAGTTGAGTTCAAAGAAATTTGAGGGAAATATAAATATATAGATATATATAATCACTTATTCCCAAGTTGTTAATGTCCTACTTAACTGTTCTACAGGTGATTTACACAAATTCCCCAAAACTCTAAATAAAAGTAAAAATAGGCACTAAATGTCATTTGGATGTACAAGCTTAATCTCAAAGCTTTTTCTATGACTGGAATCTAAATAATTCGAGTATTTTAATAATAGTTGCATCATATCTGGATCTGGTAATCTTTATGGTACTTTGTTTCCCTCAAGATATTATTTCCCCCTATAAATCACCTAAGAGAGTTTAAAGAGTTGCATCAAAGAATGCGTAACATGCTTTGAATAATCCTTTTGTTATTATTCTTTGTTCTCGCCATATAAACCACTTTGGCTCATTAACAGTCTGGGATTCCAACTGACATGAAAGTAAGTCTTGGAGCATGGTCATGGGACACTACTACAGGTGAAGAGTTTCGAGTGGGTGCAGGACTGGCTGAGCCCTATGCAATCAGTTGGTGTGCTGTAGAATATTTTGAAGATAGTGGTGCCATCTTGCGCATGCTCCTTCAGCACTTCAAACTCGAGACACCTCACTACGGAAGAACCCTCCTGCACCATGCAATCCTTTGTGGCAGCACAGGAGCTGTCAAAGTGCTTTTGAGCTGTGGCGCAAACGCAGAATGTCCAGTTAAAACCTTGAAAACCGAGTTCCGGCCAATACACTTGGCTGCTCATCTTGGTTTGTCAGAAACCCTTCAGTCCCTCATTGATTCGAGTTGTCATATAAACTCCAAGACTGACTGTGGTGACACAGCTTTGATGATTTGTGCGAAGTATAAGCATGAAGAATGTCTCAAAGTGTTGACCAGGGCTGGAGCAGACTTTGGCTTAGTTAACGTCTCTGGTCAGTCCGCTAGTTCGATTGCTGGTTCAAACCGATGGTTCCTTGGGTTTCAGCAAACAGTGCTGGACGTAATCAAGGGTCTAAGGATCCCAAAGTCAAGCAATTTATCAGTTTTCTCTCCGTTGATGTTTGTTGCCGAAACTGGTGACCATGAGGTTCTAAAAGCTCTGATTGGAAGCGGAGAAGTTGATATTGATTATCAGAATGAGAATGGTTTCTCAGCAATCGTGATTGCCGCCTTGAAAGGTCATGTTGAAGTGTTGATAAATCGGGTAAAGTAGACGAAAGAACACAAGAATTTTAACGAGGTTCGGCAATGTTCTTACGTCCTCAGTGCCTAGGCGGCGCTAGAAAATTTTTATTCAATTCTCATAGGTTTAGGTTACATCTCTATTTATAATAGAAAACTCTGGTACATAATTACAAAATTAACCCTGTACCTTGGTGAACATATCAGCGCATTCTCATCAGTGTGTACCTTCTGAAACAAAATCTCTTCAGATGCAACCAACTCTCTGATCTTGTGAAAACGTACATCAATGTGCTTAGTTCTAGCACGATATACCTGATTCTTAGCTAAGTGAATAGCACTTTGATTGTCTCAAAGCAGCTGAACTCCACCTTGTTGAACACCAAACTCCTTCATAACCAGTGAGCCATAAAGCTTCTTTTGCAGCTTCAACCGCTGCCATGTACTCAGCTTCAGTTGTAAATAGTGCCACTACAGATTGAACAGTAGACTTCCACCAAATAGGTCCTCCACCAAGAGTAAAAACATACCCTGTCATAGATCTTCTATTAACCAAGTCACCTGCATAGTCTGAATCCACATATCCTACAACCAAAGGATTATCTCGTTGACTACCAAAAATAATTCCATGTCCCACAGTACCCTCTAAGTATCGAAAGATCCACTTGACTGCTTCCCAATGTTGCTTACCAGGTTTAGACATGTACTTACAAACTTGACTAACAGCATGAGCTAAATCAGGACGAGTACATACCATTGTATACATCAAGCAACCAACAACATTAGAATACGGAACCTTTGCCATATCTTCAGCTTCCTTATCTGTCTTAGGGCACTGCTCTGATGAGAGCTTAAAGTGGTTCGCCAATGGAGTGCTAACTGGTTTTGCGCTGCTCATCGCAAACCTTTCAACATAACCCCGTTGAGATAGCCACAGTCTCCTTGAGTCTCTGTCCCTACAAATTTCCATTCCAAAAATTTTCTTTGCAGCACCTAAATCTTTCATATCAAATTCCTGACTCAATAAAGTTTTCAAACCGATAACATCATCCATGTTCTTCGCAGCAATCAACATATCATCAACATACAGTAATAGAAAAATAAAAGAACCATCATCAAGGCTCTTAACATAGACACAACAATCATACTCACATCGGTTGTAGCCAATCTTGATCATATAGGAGTCAAACCGTTTATATCACTGTCTCAGAGACTGTTTCAACCCGTACAAAGATTTCTTCAATCTGCAAACTAAATGTTCGTTTCCAGATTGAGTGAAACCTTCAGGTTGCCGCATGTAGATCTGCTCCTCTAAATCACCATGCAAAAAAGCAGTTTTAACATCCATCTGCTCTAAATGCAAATCCCAACTGGCCACCAATGCAAGTACTGCTCGGATTGAAGTGTGCCTGATCACAGGAGAAAAAAATTCATCATAATCAACTCCTTTCTGCTGTGAAAAACCCTTTGCTACCAAAAGAGCCTTGAACTTGAACTTCTCCCCCTCTTTTTCTGTTACTGCTGGTTTCTTCTTATACACCCATTTGCAACCAATCGGCTTTTTACCCTCAGGAAGGCGAACCAACTCCCATGTACGATTGTGATTCAAATACTCCATCTCCTTAACAATGGCTGCCATCCACTTGTCGTTTTCCTGACTAGTAACAGCATCATGAAAATTAACCGGATCATCACTGCTAACAATAAGTGCAAAAGAGACCAAGTCTTCAAAATCCAATCTACTCGGAGGCTTTATATTCGTCCGTCTCACCCTATCTCTGGCGAGACTATAATCCTGCAAATCATCCGTAGTGGAACCACCAGAAGTCGGTTGAGAAGTTTCTGGTTTCTCAACTGGAAACTGCTCGAAATCCACCACTGTCGTGTCTTTCTTCTGTTGCAACATGGATTGTTCATCAAAAACAACGTCTCTATTGATCACAATTTTCTTCGCAACTGGATCCCAGAACTTGAATCCTTTGACACCTTTCTTGTAACCCAGAAAAATGCACTCCTTCGATTTTGCATCAAGTTTGGATCTCTCATCAGCAGGTACATGCACATAAGAAGGACAACCAAAAATCCGTAAGTTATCAAAACTAACATCATGACCAGTCCATACCTCTTCTGCAACTTTCCCAGCCAATGATGCCCTTGGCGATCTGTTGATAAGATAACACGCCATGTTAACAGCCTCGGCCCAGAAGTGTTTGGGAAGCCCCGCATTCAACCGCAAACATCTGGCTCTTTCATTCAACGACCTGTTCATCCGTTCCGCAACACCATTCTGTTGTGGTGTCTTGCGCACTGTAAAATGTCTCTTAATCCCGTGCTCCTTACAGAAGTGTAAGAACTGTGAATCTGTGTACTTCGTACTATTGTCAGATCGCAAACACTTGATTTTTCGTCTTGTTTGGTTTTCTACCTCAGCTTTCCACAGCTTGAACTTCTCAAAAACTTCAGATTTGTGTTTCAAAAAATACACCCAAACTTTCCGTGAAAAGTCATCAATAAAAGTAACATAATACCTAGATCCACCCAAAGACGATGTCGTGGAAGGCCCCCATACATCAGAATGCACATAATCAAGAATCCCTTGAGTTGTGTGCCTCGCAGTCTTGAAACGGACTTTAGTCTGTTTACCAAGAACACAATACTTGCAAAAATCGAGCTTACAACTTTTGACACCATGCAACAGATTTCTTTTGTGTAATTCTGTCATACCACGTTCACTAAGATGAGCAAGACGCATATGCCACAGTTTTGTAGTATCATCACAGGACTCAATAGAATGAACTCCACCTGCAACGGTACTCCCTAAAAATCTATAAATATTTCCTGCAGTCATCTTTCCTTTCATCACAGTCAAAGCACCTTTAACAATCCGAATGGTTTCCCTATCCTCATCAGCCTTAGGGATAAAACCATTCTTGTGCAAAGTGCCCAAAGAAATCAAATTCTTCTTCAAATCTGGGATATGTCGAACACCACTCAACGTCTGAACAGAGCCATCATACATCTTAATTCTGACATCACCAATACCAACAATATTGCAACATCGATCATCACCCAAATAAACAAAACCATAATTAACCGACCTGTATGTCGAAAACCATTCCCTATTTGGCGTGATGTGATAAGAACATCCAGAATCAAGAATCCACGCATCCGTCGATTGAGTCGTTGAAATAGAAAGCATATCACCCTCACTACAATCAGAATTGTCATCCTCGACCACGTTCACAGACTTGGATGAAACATCACGCTTCTCATCAGTCTGCTTTTTCAACTTCGGGCAGTCTCGCTTCATATGTCCCGCCTCCTTGCACTTGTAACAGTGAATTGTCTTCTTATCCCTAGATTTGGATCTGGAATTCCGCTTGCCAGACCCTGCCTTCTCTGGCTTCCGTCCACGGTCTCGATTACCCTTGACATATAAGCTATCGGCTTGAGAGTTTTCCCCTGCATTCTGCTTCCGCTGGTTGTGAGCCAACAAGACTACAGTAATCTCCTCAACGTTGATAGTCTCTTTCCCATATGTAAGAGTAGTCACCATGTGTTCGTAAGAGGGAGGCAACGAACACAACAAAATCATCGCTCTGTTTTCATCCTCAATTTTTACATCAAGCCGAGCCAAATCAGAAACGATTTGATTGAAGACATTCACGTGTTGCGCCAAATCATGATCGTCCTGCATCTTCAGCCTATACAGCCGCTGCTTTAGATACAGTTTTGTCGTTAAGGATTTGGACATAAATTGACTTTCCAACTTCCTCCAAATTTCGTCTGGAGACAATAGATGCATGACGTGATACATAACCTCGTCCGCCAAGCATAATCGTATGGTTCTGCCGCTCGTTGTTGCAATTCTTCCCAATCTTCCTCCTCCATCGACGCCGGCTTTGTAGGTCGCAAAGCCTTCAGGATCCCCTACTACGCCAACAGATCCTTCACCCTCGTTTGCCATAATCCGAAGTTACCCAGACCATCGAATTTCGCGACTTCGAATTTTGCTCCTGACATCTGATACCAATTGTTGATAAATCGGGCAAAGTAAACGAAAGAACACAAGAATTTTAACGAGGTTCGGCAATGTGCTTACGTCCTCGGTGCCTAGGCGGCGCTAGAAATTTTTTATTCAATTCTCATAGGTTTAGGTTACATCTCTATTTATAATAGAAAACCCTGATACATAATTACAAAATTAACCATGTACCGTACCGCGGGGCCGCAGCCCCCGCACCCCAACCCACATAATCGTAACCCCCTTTACGAGACTTTCTTTGTAAGGACAGTTGATATTCGCTGCGTTCGCTTCGCTCACTCCGCTCCATCCCCTGTCCTCTTTACCGGTATATTTATGAGCCATACCTTACATGAAGCATTCCGGCTGCTAGCTTATGCCGGAGCTGATGTTAAGCTGTTAAATAAATCTGGTGAGACAGCAATTACATTGTCTGAACTGAACCAGAACCATGATCTGTTTGAGAAGGTGATGCTTGAATTGGAACTCGAAAAGGGCAACCGAAATGCTGGAGGTTTCTATGCTTTACATTGTGCTGCGCGTTACGGAGATTTGGATGCTGTTATGTTATTGACGAGCAGGGGATATGATGTTAATGTCCCGGATGGAGATGGATACACCCCACTTATGTTGGCAGCTAGGGAAGGTAATGGACCCATGTGTGAGCTCTTAATCTCACACGGTGCAAATTGTGATTTCAAGAATGCTAAAGGGGAAACCGCGCTTTCTCTAGCTCGAAAAACCACCGTCTTAAAAAATGATGCAGACTATGTGATTTTAGATGAGCTCGCTCGCAACCTTGTTTTCGGTGGTGCCCGTGTCCTAAAGCATACCAAGGAAGGAAAGGGAAATCCTCACTGGAAAGACATGAAAATGGTTCGAAATTCCGGACTGCTGCAGTGGGGAAAGTCAAGTCGACGAAATGTTACATGCCGAGAGGCAGAATTGGGTCCAAGTGCATCCTTCAGAAGGAACCGGCACAGCAAGGGTGATGCGAACGGACCTGGAATATTCAGAGTGGTGACTACCACTAACAAAGGGGTTCATTTTGTGTGTGAAGGCGGATCTGAAATGGCCGAGCTATGGGTGAGAGGAATAAAGCTTATAACAAGAGAGGCTATTTTTGGTAGCCAGAAAGATAGTAGAGAGCAGTTAGGAAGTTAGGGTTTTAGATGATTGTATAGATGCTTGGAGTTTTACATTTCGTACTTTAAAAGTAGTTGGAATTCATCGTATTTTGCTGTAAAGGTTTTGATCTCAGCTTACTAAACGCTTTGTCATCTAAAGATGAATAAAGCTTAAACTGTTGCAAATATATTCCGAGTTTACTGCTCGCACGGGATCAACCTCCAAAGAACAAAACTAATAACACGTTAAGTTCCATTACTGGACATCAAACCAGAGAATACGGTTATAATAGATGGGCAAAACATCAAAAATCAGTACAGCTCCTTGAAACCAGAAATTACAATAGTCTGTCACGTTAATCTTTCCCAACCGAAAGTGGTTCAACATGAAAGTGATGATGGTTGAGACGCTTTAAGCATATTATACTCCGTAGAAATGAAAATTTTGAATGTACTGAACATCTAATCATTTGATGATCCTCTATCGTCCTGATCCTCATGCTCGGTAACAACTTTTTCGATAAACCGCCTTCGAACTCCTTCGAGAACAGCTTTCTGAGACTGGTCACCCACACTTTGACCATTATTTAGTACAGGTTCTGATTGACAGAGAACTAAGGCCACACCTATATTTTAACAGAATAACAAAATTTCAATCCAAAACACATGGGACGGAAGCTCATCAACAACATCCAAAGTAATTAGGAAATGAGGGAAAAAGGAGTGAATCCCTTCATTGATAGCATACCTTCAGGCGTGCATCTCCGGCCAAAACTATACAAGCCGATGTAATTTGCTTTTACTGCTCCACTGTTATAAACCAAGAGAGTCGGAAGATTACGATCTGGGTAGTTAGGGATGCACTCAGTAGATATTATCTTCACAAACTTCGTGGCTGGGTATTTAACAGCCAATTCTTCCAAACACCGCAGAAGCACCCCGCACTCTGGAAATCTAACAAGAGATACCAATAAAGCAAAGAATAATGAATACAATAACCATCATTCACGCATTTTTCAATGTACATGAACATTTATTCCAATTACATAACGGACTAAGAAAGGAACATCTATGTAATATAGAACAGAGAAAGAGAAAAATGGTATGATTTGATTAGATTAAGTGTTGCAAAAATGAAAATTCATACAAGCCACTTCAAAAGTGAACAGGAAGCACTAAATATTGTACTAAACAAAGAACATCCCATCAACAAACCTAAGAAAGGAACAACAGTTGTTAATGTAGCCTGAACACATATTAAAAGGAAACAAATCTGTCACAGTTTAGATGACTGATAATTGTATAGGAAGCAAGTAATATATCAAAGGTAAAAATACCCTTAATTTTTTCATGTATTTTGAAAAATCCAGAGCAAATGAAAACTCAGTCACAAGGCAAACGTTCCAGCTTGATTAAATCATGAATTTGATACAAACTGAAGAAAATAATAATAATTAGCCTTAAAGTTTATAACAGAAGTTCACTATTTACATTCATTTTACAAGTTCTCGAACGTAAAAATTTTCCTTTCAGCTATAAACTTAACAAAGTTGTCCAATTAAACTAAACTGTATTTTAAATCAATAAAAAAAATATCTCTAACCCAAAAATCAAAACCTGTATTATTCAAGGAATCGATCATCATCGAGATCATCATCGAGATCTTCAAGTTCTTCTTCAGTCTTTTGATCGATCCAAGACTTGTCCTTGGGGGCAGAACCCGGGTCCGGTGCGGGTTCAAAAGGAGGAGGCTTGAAAGCAGGTGGCTTTGGAGGTAAATTGCCAAGTTTTCTTTGAATATCGTCCCATTGAGTGGAAGCTCCTTCTACATCTTTGTAAACGAAATGGTAATCCGCCATTATTTATGACTATTTTCCTTTGCTCCTTTCTCCCTTCGGCTCAGCTTCCAATTCTAAACATCGGAATAAAAACGTAATATGAACATAAAGTACTGATTCTGGCAATCAACACGGGCCCAAGTAGAAAGGTCTAGTCTTTGAAGTTGACATTTATGTTCCACTCAATAATAAATTCATATTCTAAAATAATCTTAAATTCGAGTTAAATCAACAAATCTGATATATATATGATAACATATTAAAGATCATTTTATTATTTAGAGGTGATTAAATATTGGTTTTATTAGTAAATTGGTTTATTAACTATACTCAAATTTCACATTGGTTCTTAGAGCTTTTCTTTCTTTTTTAGTTGAACCTAAATTATCACATTTTTTCTTCATTTTATTAGAGGTGTACAACTCTAATAAAAACAATCGAGTATATTTTAAGGTAAATCAGGAATAATAATAATAATAATAATTTAGTTATCACTTTAGACAAATAATAATAATAATAATTAAGGACCAATCCAAAAGTTAGAGTATATTTTAAGGGCCAATTTATAATAAAGCCCTAAGTGTTCTCTATCCAAGCCCATTAGCATTAGGACTTAGCGATGAAGGTTTATACCTAGAAAGAAAAGTCTGTCTTTACAGTTCAGCCCATAGTTTTCTCTTTCCGTTCCAATAGTTGGCTTTGACTGCTTTTTTTTAACCTCGCCGATACCTCCTTTTTCTCTGAGATTTTTACTCATTGGCTGCGAGAGGAGCAGAGCGTTGCTAGGGTTTAGAAGGTACAACCTCTAAATTTCGATTTTTTTTAAATTATATTACTATCATTTATTTGATTTCCTTTTTAAAATCATGATCTGGTTTGATTGGATTGCGAAGCTTATTTCCAATTTTGTTTGATGAAATCTGAAATTTGACGTTAGATAGTATCATCATTCCACTAGGGTTTATCTAATTCCCGCTTTTCAATATCTCATGTTTCTAGATTGTTTAGAGATTTCCTAAGAGTGTTTCGGATTAATTTTTCTTTGGAATGCAATGTAAAGGCCATGGCAGGATCAGGGAGTTCGATGCTATATTCATTTCTTTTATTTACTGTCATTCTGTCACTCCAAATGATGTATCGAGGGAAGTTAGCTTCGTCGGAGCTTTTCACAATACTTGGTGGATTCATCAGCTCCCTCTTGTTTCTTGTGTTACTAACAGTGAGTCTCCTGACGCCCCGAATCTGCTCCTTTATTTATCATCCAGATTCGCGATCCCCAGTTTTATGTTCTGAATTATGGTTTTAATCCAGTCATATGATTTATTTGTTGATGTTGTGAAAGCCAGCATATTACAATCTGAGCTCTGAGAACTGAATTGCGTTCTTTTATGACTTACACTGCTTGATTCGGCATTTTAATCTGTATTTTTCTTTCCTTCCCTCCTTTCAGTTCATTGGGAATTTCCAGGAGTCAAATGGGATGAGGACCAGTTGGGGTGCCGGTAAGCTTATAGAGACCCTTCTTTTCATTAATTTTTCTGCTTTTCTTTTCTTTTAATTAGTTGTTGTGAGATATTACTAATAAAGATCAGGGAGAAAAAGCCTTTTAACATTCTATACTGTCATGTAACTTCCTTTGGTGAAAATATAGCATGCAAAGTGCATTCATGGCTCATGAGGTTCACTATTGAAATTAGACAGTAGTAAGAAACTCAGATATTTGATATTTGAAATTCATTACCTGTTTTGCTAATAGCTACTGTAGTTCAATAAAACCCAACATTGACTTTTTTCTTTATGGGAAGAAACCATGGTTTTTCGTTGAAAATGGAATTTAAGAATCTATCTTAGCAACTAGCACGTTGTTCAAACAAATTTTACAATGCACTGGCTTCTTTACTGCAGAATTGTACGATGAACTTAAATATGTCTTTTCTTGGCAGTCATATTAGCAGAAGCTGTTGCACTGATTGTTGCTAGCACTGTTCATCGAGTGTGTATCACAACATGGTAATTTCAATTAGTGTCTTATTATCTGCATTTTACTTCATGCTCCTACTGTGCATGCTTTATGAGAATCGTTTAATCCTTTAACAGCGTCGTTCGGTAAGTTTAAACCATGTGGGTGTAATAATATGTTTAAGGAAGTCCACTTGAGATCAAACCCAATGTGAGAGAAAAACTGGTAGTTACTGTTGGAAACTTGAACATTTCTCTTATAGAGTCATGGTGGAGCCAGGGTGATGGATTTGAACCTTAGACATCCCATTTACAAATGCTATGAATAACATGGTCTGTTAGTACAAGTTATGGAAAATCACTAACGATTGACTTTATATTTCATGTTCAATGCAGTTTCTTGTTCTCATCTGGATTTTGTTTTACAAATATGCACACTAATGACTGACTATATATTTCATGTCGAATGCAGTTTCTTGTTCTCAGCTGGGTTACTTTATGAGATCAACAAGATTTCAGGAGTGTTGGTCTCTAAAATTGAGTCGAAAACAAAGAGGCACTGAGTTAAAATATCATTGGTTTTCAGAATAAAAGTTATTTGATTAGAAGGTTGTCTGATGCTATTAGGACTAGATGTAAGCAACAGTCCCCGTTTATGTCAATTTAGAAATTCTGTTACTGTTGTTCACTTGTTACTGTTGTTCACTTGTTACTGGCTCACGCTTGATTTCATTTGAATGAAGAACTTTGGGAATCGCTATTGTTTTCTTCTCCATTTTGCTTCGCTATTTTAAAAATAAAAATAAAAATAAAAACAATGTATTAGTGAATTCTAGTTTGTATGCAATCAAATGACTTAATGCTGCCATGTGATGAACTTAAACCTCTCCATTTGTTCTTTCTTATTTTCTTATCTAGGCAGTCATTAGTGCTAAAGTGAAAATTCTGTTTTAGCTATGGTATCGGTAAACATGTGTTGGAGTCAGGGTTTTAAATAGCGTTCGCGGTCACGTTTTCGGTCGCATCGCGGTTGCGGATATAACGGATGTCATCGCGGTCACTGCGGGTGTCGCGATCGTGAATTTTTTTAAATTTTGCACAATTATCTTAAAACATAATAAAAATAATTATAATTATAAGAAATAATTTTTAAAATGTTTTTTAAACGAAATTGACATATATTTAATATAGTTTAACTTAAAATGTTTTTTAAGTAAAAAGATGAAGTAAACATTTTAATTTGAATAATGAACTATATTAACTATTTGAACTTAATTATTATAAATCTTATTTTGATAAAAAAAATAGTGTTTAGTTGTAAAATTAAAAATACTCACAAAAGAATTAACAAATTTATTTCTTTTTTTTTTGTTATTTTAATGAATGTAATTTAAAGGCACTTAACAACTTTCCAAAGTGATAAAGATTTTTAACTTCACTTCCCAAAAATATATATTAAATTAAAAAACCTACAAATTGCAATATATATATATATATATATATATATATCTGGGGAGCAGTTGGCAATGTTTCCTTGCCCTCCTCATTGTATTGGAAGGAAAAAAAAGCCATATTTAACCCTTGTTTTACTGTCACGAGTCATCATACCCTTTTTTGGAAGTTACCTTTTACTCTTCCACTCCTAACAAAAACCAATCAGCCATGTTTTATAACCTAATATTTGTTTTATGCCATTAAACTGTTTATTATTTCTTTCTTCCAAACTCTTTGAAAACTTCTGTGTAACTCTTTCTTCTCTCATGCAATCTTCAAAAGCTTTACAACCCATTTCGTTCACAAATCACAACCCACTTCTCCACCATGCTCAAACTCCTCAACAAGAGAATCAAGCGTCTCTCTTCTCGCCTCCGGTGGCCTGTTCGTCGCCGACCAAGTCTATCATCGTCATCAAAAGGCTTCGGAAATCAGACCCCAAGACTCGGACCGATAATGGGTCTTCCAAAGTTCACCAAGATGTTTGGTGTTGTAACGGGAATTAGCGGGAAAAACGGTCCGTTATAACCGCGATCGACCGTTACCCGTTAAATTACGACCGTTATCAGCCGTTATGGGTGTGATTCCGTTTCACACCGTGATTTCGGTTGATATCGATAACGGAAGCCATCGATACTGCGATATAACGGCCATTATACTGTTACACAACCGTTTTTTGAATCTCTGGTTGGAGTGCATCAGTTACAAGTTTATCTATAATTTTAAGTTTTGGGAAAGGGGCTTGAGAAAAAATATTCAACAATCACTTTAATTTAATTAAGGGACTGTTTGTTTATTCAGAATGATGCGCTAAATGATTAAAATGTTGAATGATTCAGAGATCTGTATAAATTAGCTCTGAATGTGACATGCTATTTGATATTGGCTCTGAATGATTCAGAATGTCTTTGATGCTAATCATGTAGTACTGTTTTGTTGAATCAGTAAATACTGAATCATTCGGAGGTAAGAAACAAACACGCTGAATGTTGAACGGTTCACCATTCAGCGCTGAACGGTTCACCATTCAGAACGGTTCACCTTTCAGCGCTGAACGGTTCACCTTTCAGAGCTGAACGGTTCACCATTCAGCGCTGAACGTTCCATTTAGAGCCAAAGAAACAACCCCTAAATCTAACCTGGATTCAAAGGTAAGCCCTATGCTTTGACTTTTATTAGAGTTTCTCAACTCTCAACAATCCACAATCATATTTAAACAAGCTTATATTAATAGCATTGGGATGCATTTCATTGAAAAAAATTTGCGACAAGATCACAGAAAAACACCACTACAACTCCATGTATCTACACCCCAGCTTTGTCAAGAGTTGGAGAAAATTGGCCTGTCTAGTTCATCCCTGAACTTGTTGCAGGTCTATGGTTGGAAGGTCTATAACAACACATCGCATATCTTCCGACAATGTTTTCGACGGCAGCGGCCCCCTAGGTATCAATCAACATCAATGACATGATTGCATTTACATCGTAAATTCACATTTCAAATGAAGTACAAAAAGAGGATCATAGACAAATCAAAACATTCAAGAAGATGCTCTCATGGATCATTACGCTATGCAGGAACTATATCCATGTATCAAGAATCATAAAGAATGGAAGAAAATAGAGCTGAACACGGAAGAAATTTAAGAAAAAAAAGGAAGATATAGTTGATGTACCAGTTATGAGAGTCGTAGCTGTTATTACGGTTGTCTCCCAACACATAAACATGATCATTAGGGACATACTGCAGATCCAAGAAACACAATGTGGTCAGCATGAAACAACAATTCTGAATAGTGTACCACTCAGTCCTATGATAAACCCAAAACTAAAACGATTCGAATCATGGAGACTCAGAATGCCAACATCATTGAGTTCACCAGGACTCACATTTAATGCAAAATAGTAAAGGAAATGCTGGAAAACTCGAGAATTCATGGAGAGACAACAAAGGGGACTCACCGTTAAGTCTGATGCGTATGATGGTCGTTCAGCTATGAAATTTTCCTGTTGTTCAACACCATTGACATAGAGTGACCCATGATGAACCTGCATAGCGTAAGAGGACATTTTAGAAGAAGATGAAGAGCCTTCAACATTAAAATTGCCTCAATTTGATTGTTTTAGCAGTTTTTTCTTTTCTTTTTTGAGATAATGTCTTGCAGATATTAGGTGCTGATCTATATAGTGAATGAATAAAGGAGCTTTGAAAACCTTCCATAAAGAGATAAGAAAGATGTGATTGCATTAAGATACAATGGTAACAGAATCAATAATACCTGAACCAAGTCACCAGCCTTTGCGACAATTCTCTTAATAAAAACGGCATCCTTCCCGAATCCAGGCTCCTGTAGCACCAACATAAAGATAAGAATACTTCAGTATGAGGTTTTCTACTGGTTGCCAGCAATTACGCAGTTCTATATCACTATATTGCTAGACTCTTCATACATGAAAAACATAGAAAAAAACTGAACATACCCAGGTCGGTCACATGCCCTTATTCAACACTCACACTCAAGTCCCAAGTAACATAGCTATACAAAAGCAACAAACCTGATCTGGAGCTCGGAATGTTACGATATCATTTATAGCGGGACTTCTGAAGAAGTACGAGGCCTGGACAAGTTGCAAAGTGAGCTAAAGTGAGAATAAACAACAATATGGTTCCTATAAGAAAATCCGAATTGTTACTCTTAAGTCGATCTCAATCACGATGCGTTTGTTACCATGCAATTTTTTTTATAATAACAGATGCATTAATGTGAAGAACAAAAGAAAAGTAACAGGGTTTGTTTGTAAATCAGGAAAAAGGGCATTTTCATGTCGTTCTCATTTCCCTCTAAAGTCGATCCAGCATCTTATGCTTTGGGGAATAGAGTGTCTGGAATCATTTACAAAATCCGAATGATTTGGAAACAAGAGTTAAATATTGTTCTTTTCCTGAGAAAGTGTAGGGTAAGCGAATCCATCTTTGGACAAAACATGATTGAAAATATCCTATAAGAACGCCATTGAACAACGAATAAAAGAATTTCAATCACGTTCTAGATCAAGTAGCTGTTCAAAGTACTCAGCAAATTCGAAAAAATTGCTACCCAGAAGTTCTAAAAACACAAAATGATAGCATAATTAACCAAAATCGAGATCATCCACAGAATTCAATCTGAAGCAAGGCAGAGATGGGATAAGACAGCCACACATCTCCATGATTTTCTAAAGTTGCAAATCCGTAAACCGAGTTAAGCTGCAGAGATCTCCTAGAATTAACCATTACTAAACAAACAAAAGCATCAGTAGACAGGAAAGATTAAAGTTTGTTTTCTTATACCTTTTCGACAATGACCCGATCACCAACACGAAGGGTAGGGTACATGGAAGAAGAAGGAATGAAACGAATCTCCGAAAACGTGGTCCACAAAAGAGCGATGACTAAGAACCTAAAGAACCCATCAAGACCTGGCCACCTAAGGAAACCCCAACTCTGGCAAGGCATCCATTTTAGTGAAGGGAAAGTTATCAGAGACTTGTACAAAGCACATGGTCTCAAGAAGCTCATCGTCCCTGAATCCAAACAATGACTGAAGCTCACCACCAGCGCTTCAAAGTTTAGTTGTTGCTAAAGTTGGATAGAGGGAGAGGGTGTGCGCGTGGAATGGGGTTTTTTTTAAAAGAGGTTTCTTTGACCAGATTTTGCCTTGGAGAGCAAGATTCATTGTTAAGAGACGAATGAGCTGAATGATGCCGTCATTGTCAATGACACAAGCCCTCGACTTCAAATTTGTCTTTTTTTATAAGGGTGAGTGTGTAACTGGACAAACTCATTTTTTTATTTGGCTGGAAATGAAAAAATAAATTGTTGCGAGTTAGAATGTAATTTTATTATTTTTTTATAAAATAATATTTGTTTAAAGATCCTTAACCTATTGAATGTTTATATCCTGCATATGCACTACTTAAACTTGAGACTTCAAATGATAACAAATCTGTTAATCCAGTGCAACTTTACTATTGTATTATAATTTTAATATCCACTCCCGCAATAAATATGGTGTTTCAATTTGATAAATAAATTTGTATTTGAAAATAAAAATTTTAAATTTTAAATAGATAATAAATAATTTACACCACGTCATATGTTCCAAAATACGACCGTAACAACGAAACAGACTTAACAGCTGCGATGTAATAAAAGTTACATTATAGAATGTTCGTGAGTCGTGACAGCTGCTCAAAGCGGTCGGGTCCTCAACAAGAATCTGCGCAGCTGATTTAGAACAACCGAGTGAACTCATCTCAGAACCGGAGTGGAACATTTTATCCAACAAAGAATTGGAACAGGTGTGCTTCTGCTGATGTCATCAAATGCCTTGTTCAGTTCTGGAAGAAATCTGATGGTATTGAAGGGGGGCAATACTTCTTTGCAACACATTTGTACTGTGGCATAAAAAAAATTGTAGGACATTTCAGCTTTGCAAGCACACAGCAAAGAAACACGGTGTCCGTGTTGCTGTTTTCATAGTATTTTTACCTTGTGCTGGTTGTACTTCTCTCTGATTGCGGGCAGCGTCGAATTGTCGTTGTTGCAGCACAGTCTATGAAGATCCTTAACACACTCGAATAGATCAGAGGGCTTATACAGTGTGTAAAGCTGCAAGGTAGAATTCTGCATAATAATAAATGGAGATCAGGACACTGATGCCAAAGAAAACAATCATGGCCTTGACACACTAGTTGGCACATACCCAGGGTTTCTTTGCTGGAAGAAGTATGAATTTGGCCAGGAAAATAGCTGATGCTGCGACCAGTGATGGAGCATAGCAAAGCATGGTGTACTCAAGGAGAGAGAGTTCAGCAATGTAGTTGGCCATGCACTCCAATTGCATTAATGGAACCTCGTTGATCCATTGAGCAGCACGAACAAACCGTCTGAATATCATATGAATTGTAAAAAAAGTTAAGTGAAAACATGAAAACCAGAAAGTATCATTGGATGATAATGGGATAAAAGAATTACCTTAAGAAACACTTTGCAGTTGGAGCAGTCATTTCAAACTTCAAGTAATTTAAAACAGATGATTCCATCTCTAGAACCTGTTTTAAGGTAGAAACAGGGTTTTAATGGCTCATTCAGATTTGATAAAAGTAGGCAAAGAAGAAAAAGGTAGTTCAGATAATACAGGCCAAACCTCATCCTTGAAATATGTATTATCAGTTATGTAGCAGAACTCTTCCACTTGTGGGGCGCAAATCTCCTCATATTTGCTGATAAAATCGAACACTTTTGTTAACATTTGGACTCAGTATCGGTATAAGGTGTGATGATATAAAGAGAAACAAAACAAAGTAGGAGGATGCTATTTTTTACGCAGCAATCATCATGCAGGCAACACCGAGTAACTGTAGCTGTTGCCTGTTCATCATATTCCCCGAAAGGTATCGATCTATGTAGTTAATGGCCAAATATAATGTATCTGGTACAAGCCTATACTCTTCAGCCACCTGCATTTGAAATTGAATCCTAGAAATGTTAATGGACGAAGGTGGTGATGGCAGTATAGACTCTGCCAACAGAAGACATAAAATAAGCATATAACTTAATAAATAGACAGAAAATTACTTCTACAAGCCAATCAATTAGTATTGCACGCATGCTGGAATTTATGTCTTTCTGGATTGTCTCCATGAAATCCGTGGAAGGTATTTTCTTCAACTGAAAAAACCAAAAGAAAAAACATCATACATTTTTCTAGAGCTCTGCCTATTTATTTAATCAGATGTTCAAATGAATACCTCAGATGCCCGTAGGTGCTTGTAAATATCACAAGCATATGTTGCACAAAGCTGTGAATCCATGTAATAGCCATCAACATCCATTATCTTAGTATCAGTTTCCTTCTCTGCCAAAGCATCTCGATTGCAGAAGTTTCCTGCAATGAAATCAATTACAAACCAAATGAGTATATTTCAAGAGACAGCTAAGGACCAAACGCATTTTATAGAACATGATGTCTGGACCTGCTGCTTCTACATCATGGTCCGAAATGTAGAGATTGCTGAATGTCTTTCGCTCGATGGAACCAATCGCTGAAACATCACGGTTGTCCATGTATTCCACTTCGGGGCTTTTGAAAGAATCACACGTGGACATTGTCTCATCCATAGAAACTGATGATGAACCTTCTGATTTACTAGGAGAAAACTCCATGATACACTGTAATGTTGAAGGAGGCAACGCCACTTCATTTTCTTTCGAAAATGATGAAACAACCTTGGGCGGAAAAACTGAACTGTGTCTTACGTTTGGAGGAGGAAGAACATGTTCCGAGAGACCTGCGTTTGTAGGAGGAAGAACATGTCCTGGGAGACCTGCACTCTTTGCCTTTGAAAATTTGTTTGAACTCGGCACCTTCAAATTTGAAATTTAAAATAAAAAGCTGGATTAGTTCCATAATCAATCAAAACCACATATTTCTACTTAATTGTAAACAGAGCTAGCGGCCAGGTATAGTTTTTTCCCCAAAAACAAATGAGAACAGAGTTTCAAATTTGCTCTAATTCTTTGGAAAAGCTTTGAGTTCCCCCATTAAATTCAAAGAACGCGTATATACAAAAACATCTAAAATTTCATTTCAACACTTCCTTTATCAACATTGTATCAGAAAATAAGAATCATGTAACATTGAAAAAGAAAAAAAAAATCAAATATATAAACAAGAAGGAAGTTAAGACTTAAGACCCACCAAAGAAGAGGCCGAAGCCGAGCTTCTCGAGCTTTTCTTTTGGTTAGTAATGTTAGTGAGAGGGACTCTCTTTTTAGTCAAAGAAGCCGTGAATTTTCCCACATTCTCCGACGACGATGCATGTCGCTTGGCCAAAGACGAAGTCGTCGAAGAAGAAAACGACGATCGCCGATTGTTACCGTTTTGCGTCGTCATTCTCACCGGCTTTCTTCTTCGAAAGAGAAACGACTGTTGCAAGAAGCAGCTTCGGTTGCGGTTTTTATTCGAAATTTTCTTAACGAATGCAAAAGGACGTTTGAAACTTTGAATTAACGAAAGATCTTAGCCGTTGATCCCACTCGATAATCGTTAGGAGCGTGGTGTGGGGACCACTGACTCTGTTTCGAGTTTTCTCAACCGGAGTTGTTTATTGGTCACACAGTAGACCAATAAAAAGACGACACGTTAGAAGCACAAAATCCGGGAATCTGTTTATCAACGGTTTGAGTGGATTTGACTGGTGGGTGATCGTGTACAAAAGTCACAGCTAGGTGTCTTTGGGTTTTTTTGAATTCGAATTTCAAACGGTCACAAGATCTGTCTTGTCTTTTTACTCGATTCTATGGTAACCACCTAGTAAATATAATATAAATAAAACAAAAAGATTTTTGAATAATTTACTTTTTACAGGTCTTTTTACATGGAAAGTAGGTATGAGTAGAATTTAATGCACAGCATGAAAATAGTTTTAAACTTAAAATATAATATCAATTCGATTTGTTTAATGAACATAAAAATTGTATAACAAATATTATTAAAAATTTAACTATAACACTTTCAATATTCAATATTCGATGTTTTGAAATATTTAAAATTTTTATGATGTTTATATTTGCATAATCGATTTATGTTAATTACAAATTTCTTTTGTTTGTTGACGTTGCTGCTTCGTACTTGTACTGTATCCATTATTCTTATAGGGTTCACAAACTTTTTCTTTTACCAAAACAAACCTAGTTCATGGTGCGTCGAAAAATGTTCCAAAATTTTAATAGTTCGATGAGAATTAAAATATGTGTAGGATGGTAAATTAGATGAAGCATACAGTAAGTTATTTAAGTTTGATTCAATCAAAGTTCGGTCAATATTTTAATCGAATAGACTCGATCGAGTTCTTAACGAGTCGAAAAGAACTAATTGATGTCTGATTCGAAAAAATATAATATATTAAAATTTTATTTTTTAAATTAAATTATTAAAAATATTAACATTTGTATGTTATTCTTTTATAAAAATGCAATATAAGATTTTTATGTACTTAAGGTTCATATTCGAGTTCCAGTTCGAGCTTGTGCTCAAGCTTCAATCGAGCTAAGTCTGAAAATATATCAAATTAAGATTTTTTGGAGCTCGAGTTGAGCTTTAATTTTTTATTTTGAGTTTGAGATAAATTTAATAATTTTAAGCTTGCAAGCTTTTGAGTCAAATCAAACTCGTATTTGAACTTTTCAAGTCGAGTCGAACTCCACAATATTCGTACTTGACTCGATTTGTTTACATCCTAATTATATGATAAATAATCATTTAAGAGTCAAGTTACTTCCCAAACATGAAGTCCTATTAAAAAGTTAGAGAGTTTTGAAGGCAAATTTGTTCATGTGGGGTAGTAGGAAAAAAGATTTCCGCGTATAAGGCTCCTATTATATTATTTTCTGAATTATGGTCATTGCTATAGTACCAAGAGGAAAACGTTGGGAACACCACGCGACTGCAACTTTTTTGGGGAAGTCACATGAATCACAGTGTGTCTTCCCCGTCGCTGACCATTTTTTCTTTGCTATGCATTTCCACGCATATTGTTTAGGAAAACTAAAGATACATGAATTGTCATGCATCTTCCACCAGAGAATTGTAGTCGTATAATATTTTTGATGCCTTCCCCTGGACACTGCAGCGACGACTCTTGTTTAAGAAATAATATGATGAGAGTCTTATATGAGGAAATCTTTTTTCCTACTGTCCTACATGAATAAATTGTCAAAATATTCGTATAAGGAAATGCATTTGTACAATATAAAATATAAGGTCCTCTAAAATATGATAGGACTCTTTAACTTTTTAAGACTTAAATGTATTTTTATGTATTGTATCAATTATCTTTTCTATGTTGTTTCAAGCTTAAAAACAACTCTAAAAATGTCATATTTTCTAATAAAAATCTCATTACATCATCTATTGATGCTTAGTTTCAATCCGGATTTAGTAAAGATTATAGAAACGTTTAAGTTTTTCTAATCTTTTCCCATTCCTTTTTATGCTTTTAAAGTTTTCATATTTCCCCACTTCTAAAAACTATTTTTGAATCATTTATTGAGGTTGTTTAAGTCTCCATTTAAAGTTGGTAGATCTTTCAAAGTTAAAAGGGAAAATGGTTGTCGTTAAAGGGTGAAGACTGAAGAAGAAGTTTCATTCATGAAATTTGAAGATAATACTCAACTTAGAGAAAGTTTTATATCTAAATTACTTCAAATCTTTAAATTTCTAAATCTCACGTGTCATCGTTGAATTGGTCACCACCGGTCTTTTTTTTTTTTTGGTAGTCGGACTTTCATTGGTCGTCCGTTCTCTTATCGTCGCACGTTATCACCCGAAATAAAATAATTGCATCACTTAGTCGTTAACCCCATTGCATGAGATTTTTTTCACCCAACCATCGCATGCTCATCATCATCGATAAGACAATATCAATGCTCGAATCTTCGCTCATTGTTTAATTTCTGCTGCTCGAAAATTAAGGATTTAGAAATTTGGGGGGTTTGAATTTTTTGAGAAATTATAAAATTTAGGATTGTTTCAGAAATTTATTGTTTTTTAAAATTCACAATAATAAAAAATTAATGTCATGTGTTAACTATTAGTTGACGATTTTTTTAACGGAAGTTGACAGGATAACCATAAAATGATAACAAAATAAAACTTTAAGCACCTTAAATGGTAACGAAAGTTGGCGGGTGATGAGTGAATTTAAGAGTTAGAGATTATAAGAGTTTAGGGATTTAAGGGATTAGACGACGACAAGGGTGGTGACCGGTCATTGGGTGAACGAAAAGGGCGAATGGTCATTTTGTAACGGGGAAACTGTTGGGAATTCGATGAAGCTTAAGGATCAACCGAATAATTTGCCAAGAGGGGTGAATTGGCTTTTTGAGTTTAGGGAGTAAGGAGTAAAAATGATAGAAAATTTGCACAAAGCTTTATAGTGGTTCGACTTCTCAACCAAGTCTACATCCACTACCTTAGCTCCTCACTAAGAATTTTCTAACAAATTCACGAATTTATTCTTTCTTTTCCAGGATAAAGAGATAACCTTTACAACTCCCTAGCTTTTCATAGGCTAAGCTAGAATCAATCCCCTTTTACAAGGTTAAAAGAAGTAAACAAGAAAACCTCTCTAAGGTAGGGTGTTTACAAAATTTAAGCTCACAAGAAAACAAATAAACGATTTGCGATGAGCTCAAATATACTAATATTTACAAGAGAAAAGAAAATAGGAATGAAAAACGCTTCTCTTGTGTTTGATTTCTTGGATAGGTGTTCTATGTAATAACCCAAATTTTGGTTATTGACCGAAATTTAAATTTTGAAAGTTTTGTGGCCAAAGTATAAAACTTAGAAAAATTCAGGGTCTTAAGTGATAATTTTTCCAAAAAGAATTTTTATTCTATAAATGGATAGATTATTATTGAAAGTGGGGTTTTATTGAAATTAGATTTTTGGTCCAGAATTTATGTTGAATACTAGAAAGGGTTAAAATCCGGAAAGAAATCGGTAAATCGGATCGAATGGAAATTTCGGAAAAAATTGAAGGATGATAAATTAGGCTTAAAAATATTATTTTCACATTTTAAAATGATGGAAATAATATAAGCCATTGGATTTGAGGATTTAATTCCATGTTAAATTTAGACCGTTGGATTAAAGTGGCAAAATTGTAATTTTTGGGAAATTGCAAGGGAAAAACGGTAAAGAGGGAAATAATTTGTTCATCTTTGACTTGTGGAAGATGATAAGGTTGATGTGTCTTGGTTTCATGGTAAATATGAAGTTTAGTTAAGGGTAATTTGGTCTTTTCTTAATTAAATGAATAAAATATTCATTTAAGTTAAATTAAATTAAAGGTAAATTAACATGAAATTTACCTAACATTTCAAGCAACATTTGTTCATCTTCTCCAAGGCCGTGAGCTCCTCCAAAGGAGAGAGAAAATTTCTTTTCAATTTTTGAGCAATATCCTTTGGATTTTGAGTTATGTCGTGAAATAAAAAATCGATCTACGCAAAAAACGCTATCTTTTGGTACCATTTATGATTACTAATCTTGTTTGATTTCAAAGATCCCAAAGTCTAGGGTTTATGATCATATTAGGGTTTATTAAATTTATGATGAATCTTGATGTTTTTGAGGTTGTAGATTCATATACAAGCATGTATGATTATTAAAACATGTTCAATCTTCCTAGAATTTGTTCTTTAAGTTTCGACCAAACTATGAAGTTGGGGAAACTTTGTGTATTGATGAAACTTTATTAGGGCTTTGATATTAGAGATGATTTAAGGTTGGATGGAAGTTGATTTCATGCTTGAATCGAACAAAATCATGAAAACCTGGTTTTAAAGGTTAAAGCATTCGGCCATGGTATTATATAAGGGCTGGAAATGATGTAGGAAGTATGTTACAATCCTTAGAAAAATTTTAAGACCATTTTATAATTTTTGAAAAGTTGAGGGACCAATTTGTCAATTTTGGAAAGTTGTGAATGGTTGTGAAATTTGTTAATAGTTTATGTACTATGCTGGGATTTACTGTTTGGGAATTGCAATGAGTGTTATAACGTGAAATTAGATCATTTTGGAAGTTTGGAAAGTTTGGTGTTTTAAACGAAATATTCAAGTAGTTTGGAGTGCTTATTTGTAATTATTCCTTTTTATATGTACTTGGGTAGTAATTATTTCAATGCTGAAAATTTTGGTATTGAAACTTTGAGTGGTAAAATGGTAAATGACAATTTTATATAAGTTGGAAAAGTCGGTGCCAAAATTAAAAAGGATTAATAAGTGTTAAAATATTTGGTGGTGAATAAGTTTCAAGCATGAATATGGATTAAATGGAATTTGAATGGTTAATTGGAAGTGTTAAGGTCAACATTTATGTTGTGACATGGAAATTGTATCGAATA